TGTGGGTATGGCATGGTCTAAAAGGAATTTTCTGGTTGGTTGTGCTTGGGTGCTTAGAGATGACAAGGGTGAGGTTTTGCTTCATAGCAGGAGAGCTTTTACAAACATCAGATCTAGGGATGAAGCAAAATGGTTAAGTGTTGTTTGGGCTTTGGAATGTATGATAAGCCATAGAGTTAACAAAGTGTTCTTTGCTCTGGAAAATGAGGAATTAATAGGAGCGGTTCTTAGGCCAAATGCGTGGCCTTCCTTCAGGTATCAATCCTTTGAACTGCTTTCTTTGCTTAGGGTGATTCAAGATTGGAGATTTGTGTTAGAAGAAAATTTAGCCAATAGAGGAGCCTCTCTCATTGCTAAAAGTGTCACTAGAGATTGCCGGTTACAGTCGTATGTTGCAGTTAGTCATCCGATTTGGTTATTTTCTGTGTTTTTTGATGAGAGAGTCTAGTCCTCTGTTTTGGGCTTTTTGTGCAGCAGTCGGGTTCCTAGTATTGGAAGGTTTTTTGTAAAGGCCTGTTTCTATAAAGGCCTGCTTAGTATTTTTTGGTTCTTTGGTTTGTCTCAAGTTGCAGCTTTTGAGTTTGTAATTCGTTGGTTACATCTTCAATATAAATATACTAACAGATGACAAAAAAAAAAGGGATAGGTAGTATTCGATTAGCTGTAGCTTTTAACTTTTTTTTTTTTGTCAATCTGTAGCTTTTAACTTTAAAACTCTAGATATGTGTATATTGCAATTATTATTTTTAATGGTTATTTGAACAATTTTGGGCCGAACTCATAAAAGTCGAAACCTCATATTGATGGCAAAATTAGGTGTTCGTTTTTTTCTTCTAACAAAAATATTGTTAAAGACTTTATATTATGTAAAATAAAAATAAAATAAAAAAAGACATGAGAAGCTCAAAAAGAGAGACACGGTAGCATTGGATTTTTTACAAAATGAGTAAATATCATTAAAATGAAATGTAGGCATTACAAACAAGGCCTATATACTTTGGGCTTTGGCAAAAAAGGAGTAAAAAACAAAACACAAACCACAAATTCTAGCAGTAACGATTTAGAAGACAAACAAGAGACCCTTAGTACAACCAGAGCCCTATAAGATTACGAAACTTCTTCATATGCTTTCTGGCTGTGATGTTATTGATAATCTGCCGGTCAATATCTCTGAAGATGTTAAGCGGAGGGATCAAAATCTGATTATGGATTAGATTGTTCCTCTGCCTCCAAACCGAGTAGACCAAGGCATGGAGAATTATAAGACGAAGCGTAGGAGGAGAGGAACTGGTCTGAGCCTTTGTCCATTGAAGCAGAGAATCCCAGGTTGCGAACAAAACCAGTGG